CCGCCTAGCACAGCTTAGAGGGAACTTTGCTTACCTTTATGATTATTATTCAGGGTCATTTATCAAAATATAGTGAAGAGATAGTATTTACTACACTACTGTTTAGAAATTTATTCAAAAGAAACATTAAGCAAATCATAACCTGAGAACACTATAAATGAAATGGAGATTATGCAATATTACTTTGTGTGTGTGTGTATTTTTCTGTAAATTATTGGTGGCTTTCTGTAAATATTGTAAACATACTAAAAGTAACTGTGTTTTCTAGTCTCATTAAGTTGCTCTACTTTACATTTTCTTAGTAGAACTTATTCTAAAACTTTACATGTTATTTTCATCCATCAATCAATTTATACAATATGAGCACACAACAAAGGCAAAAGTATCTTACAAAGATAGGAAAACCTCAAAATGTGCCAATAAGCCTTTGTTTAGAAGACTCCTGCCACTTAAAACTGAAGTTTGATTGACATAAACCTAAATACTTATTATAAGCAGGTTCAACATTGGGTGGAAAGAGACAAGCACAAGTTTTGTTTTGTACATTGGCTCCCCAACCTGAATTGAAAAGCAATCTCAGTACATTATATAGATCTCATGGTAAAATAGTTACTTTGTAATAAAACAAAATTGAATTGCTATCAGTACTGAGCAGCCAGACTGTGCCTAGAATATATTTTAAGTATATCTCAGGTTTCGTGATTGATTGTACAAAACCAAGGGTGCGTTCCTGCATACCTTTACACAAGGAAATGTTTGTTTTTATAGGGATGGTGGATCCCACCCAAGTCCAATGTGAAATCCTTATCTAAAATTATTATTATTGCCCTGACCTGGATAGCTCAGGCAAGCCCGATCTCATTACATCTCGGAAGCTAAGCAGGGCTGACCTTGGCAAGTAATTGGAAGGGAGACCTCCAAGAAATTACCAGGACTTGGGACTCAGAGGCAGGCTATCAAGTCACCTCTCTGAAAATGTCTAAACTCCACTAGAAGTCACCCGAAGTCAGCATGACTTCAAGGCATGCAAGCACGCACACACACACACACAGAGAAATAGCCACAAAAAATAAAATTATTATTATTAATATTAGTTAACCTTTACTGATGTGATGTAGGGATGTATGGACATTGCATTTTTCTGATTTCTTTTGTACTGTATGCTTGCCAGTTATTGAGTTCGAAGTTTGAGCCTTTAGATTCCTAGGAATTGACAGCTAGCCGTGACAGGTTTGTGAAGTTCTTTGCTGACAAAATCTTCCAAATTTGGCTATGATATGACTGAAATACTAGCAACCTCCAAAGCAACATATGGTCCCTTTATGGATCATTTTAACCCAGTTACTGTGATGGATGGTGACAGGAATCCCAGAGCTGACAGGATTCCACAAAGCTCAGAAGAACAGAAGAACACTAGTAGTCAGCATACGTCCATCTCTTCAGATAGGATGGAGAATGGACAAACAATGAGCTCCAGTTCCTGTCTTTGTCTCCCAGAACTGACACTACTCCCACTGCCAGACCTCCCATGCCTCAACTGCAGTCCAATGCTGTTATTTGTCAGTGATCTTGGGAAAGTGCATTTTGTTACCCCTTTCATTCTTAAAATGTTTCCTAAACAATATCATTTTATTCTATATGAAAGAAGTAATTACATAAAAGATTATCCCTCAATAAAGGTTTAGCTGTCCACAGACGAGACCCCCCACCCCTTCCCCAAAGGTTAGCCTTGGTCAAGGGATATGGACATATCAGCATATAATGAATGGTTGCTTCCCTGTTTGTCATGGGAGCAGTGTTGTCATCATGACTGATGGAGGTTGGAGAGGTCAGTATGGACTGTGCTGTGAGCACCTTTGTATGGAGTTTTTGTTTCACATATTTATTTAAAATATTTTTGTCCTGCCTTATCTTTTCTGACTCAAGGTGCTAACAAAGCACCAATACCTGCAAGGACATGAAAAACAACAAATATCATCCCCTCTGCTAAGCAAACATAGGACAGCAACTAGCGGTGTTGGCTGTATGCTCACATCAATGTCCTAGGGATGGGGCTGCAAGAGTAGGCATCCACTGTATCAAAGGTATAATTGAACAAGGCTATCAGTGGCTAAGAAGGATTAAGGTAACTAAAATAAAGGCAGATGCCAGGCAGTTATTTATACAATTTAAAAAGAACAATTCCAGGTTTCCAGGGTTAGTTTATACAGCGGCAATCAAATGACTTTCATTTTGGAATAATTTTATAAATATTTTTCAGTTTTTAATTATAAAAAAACATTTTACTGATTCAGGGAGGAGGAATACATTTAGTGCATACTACTTCATACATTACACAGAACTTGCAATAAATGTTCTGTGAATGTAAACTGCTTTATTTAAAAAAAAGATTTATATACATGCATCTCAATATTGCTAACTTATATTGGTATTGCTTTGCATCCTTTTTGTCTTTTATTATAAATATATATATATTAAAAATAAGTGGCAGTTTTAAAGAACAAGCATGGACAGAAAATGCAACAGACTCTTTGGCATCATTTCAGGCTCTCTGACTTTCAGGTTGATATCGTCTCCATAGAGATATCCTCCAAATTCTTAATTAAAAGTTAAAACCATATTTTTTTCTTCTGTATTACTTCAGAGTATAATGACATTAATGGATTTAGAAAGGTGTAACTCTACTTAGGAAGCCACTACTGGTATTTTCAGTGGTGTGCATGGATATATCTCAGGAATTGACAGCAATGACGGAGCCAGCCAGAAGACATCTACACCGGGCAGTGACGGCGCGTGCAATTAAAGTGAATATATGTTGTCTTCCCTATCCCCTACGAACATTGTTAGTCCCTTGTCTATATATGGAGTAACTGTACATCGCTTTGAGCCCACTGGGGAAAGCGATTAATAAATGGAAAGTATTATTATTATTATTATTATTATTATTATT